GTGAGTGAGTGAGTGAGTGAGTGAGTGAGTGAGTGAGTGAGTGAGTGAGTGAGTGAGTGAGTGAGTGAGTGAGTGAGTGAGTGAGTGAGTGAGTGAGTGAGTGAGTGAGTGAGTGAGTGAGTGAGTGAGTGAGTGAGTGAGTGAGTGAGTGAGTGAGTGAGTGAGTGAGTGAGTGAGTGTTATAGTGTGTGTGAGTGAGTGTGTGTATGTGAGTGAGTGAGTGAGTGAGTGAGTGTTATAGTGTGTGTGAGTGAGTGTGTGTATGTGAGTGAGTGAGTGAGTGAGTGAGTGTTATAGTGTGTGTGAGTGAGTGTGTGAGTGAGTGAGTGAGTGTGTGTGTTATAGTATGAGTGTGTGAGTATGAATGTGTGTGTGTGTTATAGTATGAGTGTGTGAGTATGAATGTGTGTGTGTGAGTATGAGTGTGTGTGTGTGTGAGTGAGTGTGTTATAGTGTGTGTGAGTGAGTGTGTTATCGTGTGTGTGTGTGTGAGTGAGTGAGTGTGTTATAGTGTGTATGTGTGTTATAGTATGTGTTGTATTGTGTGTGTGTGTGTGTGAGTATGAGTGTGTGTGTTGTGTGAGTGAGTGTGTTACAGTGTGTGTGTTATCGTGTGTGTGTGTGTGTGTGTGAGTGAGTGAGTGTGTTATAGTGTGTGTGAGTGTGTGAGTGAGTGAGTGAGTGAGTGAGTGAGTGAGTGAGTGAGTGTGTTATCGTGTGTGTGTGTGTGAGTGAGGGAGTGAGTGAGTGAGTGAGTGTGTTATCGTGTGTGTGTGTGTGAGTGAGTGAGTGTGTTATAGTGTGTGTGTGTTATAGTATGAGTGTGTGTTATAGTGTGTGTTGTATTGTGTGTTGTATTGCGTGTGTGTGTGTGAGCTATAGTGTGTGTGTGTCTCACCGATCTGTCCGATGAGGTTGAGCAGCACGAAGCAGGTGGCGAGGAAGTATCCACAGCTCCACGTGGCCTCGATGTAGTCTCTCTGCTCGCTCCACTGGAACCACATGCGGATGCCGTCCTCCAGGAAGGTGCTGATGAGACACAGGCGAGCGACGTGAGGCAGATACTGCTTAGTGACCCGCAGGAACTGCAAACACAAGACCCACAAACGTCACATTACATCGACCAGCTGCACGAGACAAACGCAGACCGTCACATATTCACCTGGACTCTCATTTACCACCGGCTTCATCATTCAGCAGGTTCACAAAAATCCCTATAAAAATCCTACATATTGAGCATTTAGTCCCAGCATGACATTAAAGCAAGATGCAGAATAAATAAATAAATAAATAACAGTGGCATTTATTATAAACAAAGCCAAAACAAATTTAATGTTTTTTTCTTATTGCATTGACTGATATTTACTGATTACTGAATTAATATTCTTATATGCATTATTGATTAAATATTCACCAACATAAATATGAACATTTGATTTTGTCGTCATATTAGAGTTAAAAGTTTTTCCAGAGGGGATTCTGGATTTCAGCTGTTCTCACTTCATAAATCAGAAAATACTGTCAACAGACAAAACAAACACATTTTCACCCGGTTTTCAGGAGTAAAATGTTGTCTAAATCAGTGTGCATGAAATACGAACAAACCTTCAGAATATAGAGAGGAATAAAACTGTAACGTTTGGTGAATGTAAGAGAAAAAACTCTTTATAGCTAGATATGGATTGAGATCGAAATCTACAGACTCAATCAGAAAAAGTGCAGCAAGTGTGGATTTTGGATACCGGTGCATGAAAGAATACTGTTTTTGCCTTAAAAAACACAAAGCATCTGTCAGAATGAGACAGAACAGATCACAAAAACTGGATTATAAAGCCTTTTTAGATACTCTGAGATAGTAATGCCTCATCGAAAGAAACCAATGACTAAAACACACAGCATCTAAGGAACTACAGACTCTGAGGAGATCTTGAAGATTCTGCATCAGGGTCTGTAATGAACAGTATTATTAGATTTGATCTGAACAGCCTCACTAGAGCTCATGACAGACGGCAGTCAGCGGCCAAAATAGCAGCAGATATTAACAGACCACATCAGCTCTCAACAACAGCCAATCGCTGAGCGGATATGCAAATGTGACTGAGCTGACAGCCAATCAGAGCTCGGTTACAGTACTGACCCCATGAGAGTTTATGTGCTCCTTATTAGTGAAGAACTCAATAAACAACAGGACACAGACAAGACTACATCTGTGCAGTCTGAATATATACTCCAGGAAAGAACAAACACGCATTACTTGAAATAAAATTAACTGAAATAGCTGGCAAAGCAACATTTCTCATTTTCATTTAGTTTAAGTTGATGTACTAAAATAAAAACTGAAATACAATTATTTCGAAAAAACTATATAGACCAGTGTTATTTATTTTAGTATTATTGAGATGCTATTATAGTTTTTTATTAATATTTTGAATTAGTTTTTAGTTTTATATTTTCGTTTAAGTTTTAGTACACTTAAACGAAAAAAAAAATAGTTTTATGTTTTTGACGTTTTTATTAGTTTTTTTAAAATACGTCTATATAGTTTATCGGTTTTAGTTATTTTAGTACCATTTTAGTATCAACTTAAGCTAAATTAAAATGAGAAATATTACCTTGGCAACTAGCTGAAATAAAATAATTTTAAGTTTTTATATATATATATATATATATATATATATATATATATACACACACACATTTTTTTAAGTTTTTGGTTTTCTATAATAAATCTGATATAAATCAATCCTATCCAACAGAAGATTTTCAGTTAGTTTAGGTGCTCATTCGTCCTCTGTGGTGTACCCCAGGGATCGATTCTGGCACCTCTATTATTCTATACATGTTGCCTCTAGGACAAATTATGAGTAGATTTGATGTGTCTTACCACTATATATATATATATACACACATTTTTTTAAGTTTTTGGTTTTCTATAATAAATCTGATATAAATCAATCCTATCCAACAGAAGATTTTCAGTTAGTTTAGGTGCTCATTCGTCCTCTGTGGTGTACCCCAGGGATCGATTCTGGCACCTCTATTATTCTATACATGTTGCCTCTAGGACAAATTATGAGTAGATTTGATGTGTCTTACCACTGTTATGCGGATGACACCCAACTCTACATACCCATAAAACAAAGATAGACTCGCACATAAGAGATTAGAAGCATGTCTTCATGAACTTAAACTGTGGCTGACTAACAATTTTATGTTACTGAATGATGACAAAACCCAAATTATCTAATTTATTCCAATGTTTCCGCAAACGCCAACATATTACTCCTATTTTAATGGCTCTAAATTGGTTGCCGGTTCATCATTGAGTTGATTTTAAAATATTGATGTATGTCTTTAAATCCCTTATCTGAACACATCAGTCAGGTGTCTGCGGTCCGCAAACAATTACTCTCTAGCTCAGCCTCGAACACGACTGAAGTCAAGAGGGGATCGTGCATTTGCCGTTGTTGGACCTAGGCTCTGGAACAGTCTTCCTTTTTATCTGAGATCCCTGTCCTCTGTGCATGAGTTTAAATCAAAGTTAAAGGGGTCATATGATGAAAATGTTAGTTTTTGCTTACAAAGCTAGTTGCAATCAAACAACAGGTTGTGGAACAACTTACCACTACGTGTCAGAACTGCTTCTACATTTGCTGAATTTAAATCCATGATTAAAACGAATCTTTTCTCTTGTGCAACAATAAATAAATAAATAAAAATGTCAGAAACAAACAAACAAAAAATACTAAACCCTTTAATTACTTTATAAATATTTATAAAGACTACAATGATACTAAAACAGCACTGATACTACTCTGACTACAGTATGTACAGTGTGCACAGAACACATGGACTGCACAGTCAGAATGTGCATACGGATTTAAAAAACACTAGTATGCAGTATTAACAGATTAGAATCATGCTGCAGGTACTGACTTGCATCTTCTGCGACTCTCTCACACACACACACACACACACTCTCTCTCTCACACACTCCGTCTCCACATGCTGCCACTTGCCATCATTATAGAAATGATGAAATAATGAAAATATGAAAATAACAGACCGTTTTTATCACAAAATATCACAATAAATTCTCAGAGCTGTCACATTTTACACTTTTCACATTATTTGTCCATTCAAAAATTATGAGCTATGGAGTGAATGGTGTATTTTTCTGAATTAAATTGAGATTTAATCCCGAGTGCACAGTTCAGATTATTGTATGCATAACTCCATGATCTGTATTCAATTTTAAGATTTAATTTATTGCTTTAGAATAACATAAACCAATGAAATCTTCAACTCACACTAGTAATGTGCAATAAGTAAGTAGGGTCATATAAATAATATTTATATTACGAAGCTCTTCATTCTAACACAGTGAAACTGAAGAATCTGGATAAAGCCTAACTCCAGCATAGAGGGGCTCGGTAAATGTGGCGTGGTATGTGTGTAAGTGAATAAGTGTGTGTGTGTCAGACACACTGTAGAAGGACAGCTTGCCGGCTGGCCAGTCCAGATACACTCCCACTCTATTAGAGGAGGGAGAAGGGGCAAGCAAGTTGGTTCTCTTATTGCTGTGCCAGGCAGAGTATTTGTTATCAAAGCAGACCAGACTCCAGGACATTTCATTGAGGCCAAACCTACAGTCACTTCCCGTTCTCTGGATTCCCTTATACATCACTGACAATCCAGCTCCCCTCGCACTCCACTCAGCCTCCCAGTAATGACGTTCAGATAGACTCTCTCTGCACAAAACTTGTTCAAAGCAGTCAAATCTCTCAGGGTGATCAGAATAAGGCAGCTCCTCTTCCACTCGTGTCGCCTTTTTTCCCCCCTCAGACAGAGAGAGATGGTTGTTTGCTGTATTTATGTCCAGTGTGAGATTACAGGTGTCTGCACACAAGGAGAGAGATTTTAATTATATCGTTTATGATCTATGACAACCTTGTGTGTGTGTGTGTGTGTGTGTGTGTGTGTGTGTCAGTGAGTGTGAGAGAGAGAGTGCATGTGAGTGAGTGAGTGTGAGTGTGTGTGTGAGAGAGAGAGAGAGAGAGAGAGAG